AGAACGTGAGGCAAAACCAGATAGCATCTGTGGAGTGTTAAGAACTCTTGAGAAGTAAGTGTTTGGGTAGATTTTCTTAATCTAAAGCATAGCTTGGGAAAAAAATAATGAAAATAAGGACTTAGAGTTGTATGATATTTTATAGGTGTTCAGTAAACCTGTATTTATAGGTGTCCTAAAAACCATGTTTTTGAATGAATGGACTACTATCCGTTTTCTTTCCATTGAGGATGAAACTCAGAAAAGGGGTAAATATTTATCTTTTAAATGTGCAATCAATATTTGTCTTTCTATTTGCCTTAATTGCAAAAGGCTTTTCTTTAGCATTCTTGGGAATTATATCAGCAGTAACTACTAGTTTTTTCTTGGAAGCTGTCTAAGACCTTCTGTGTCTGAGCCTAAGTATCCCTTCTACCTACTTCCATATTCCTTGGCACTTTATCTCTATCATACTGCTTCTCAGACTATACTGGAAGTTCTTGGAGGGCAGGAGTTTAACAAGTTTTTAAATCCCTGCTGTTTAACATATGTGCTCAATCAAATGGGTTGAATGGACAGCTGAAGAATGAATGGAACCAAGGGTCTTGGGGAAGAAGTGGGGTGATATGCATGCCCACAGACAGAATGCTGCTAACAGCCTGAAGTCAGGGTTCCTATTTGGATGGGTTGTACTGGGGAGGGAGGGAGGTGGGATTCCAGAGTATCAGCAAGGCTTGGGTTAAGATTCAGTCCCAATTTAATCTCTTTTCCAAATCCTCCTAAGGCTACTGTGGTCTGAGAGAAACTGAAGATAAATCAGTTCAGTGGTTTTTAGTAAGAGAATTACTCCCCTCTTGGCGGGGGTAGGGGGGGCATTCTGGAAATTATGGGGGAGTGTTTTTTTGTTGTTGTTTAATATTTAGGGAGGGGTCCCCTCTGTCATTTAATAAAGTTGGATCCAGGGATTCTAGATGTCTTGCCATGTGTGGGAGAGATCTGCACAACAAATGTGTATCTATCCTGTACAAATTTCATATTATCTTAGCTTTGAAATGAACTCCATCTGATGTATGAACATGAGGTGCTTTTTAATAAAGTTCTTTTTAATGATTTTATTTATTTATTTGACAGAGAGAGAGAGAGAGCACAAGCAGGGGGAATGGGAGAGGGAGAAGCAGACTCCCTATTGAGCAGGGAGCCTGATGCGGGGCTCAATCCCAGGACCCTTGGATCATGATCTGAGCCGAAGGTAGACATTTAACTGACTGAACCACCCAGGCGCCCCAATAAAGTTTTAATATACAGTTTATTTTCCAGGAAATGCAACTGATGTGTAAATTGAAGGGAGTATAGTATTTTGCTTTGTTGGGAAATTTGTCAAAAGTTATTCATCATTTCAGAAAATTACGTCATTGTGTTGGTCATGCAGTTGAGTGGTTGACATGACACACCCCTGCCAGTTTGCATGTGTGTCTATGATACCTAGTGATGGGTTGCTTCTAGGACTTGGCACGGGTATCAGACCACTTCAATACATCTGCTACTATGTTATGCCCAAGGGCTTACATAATGACACATGTATGGCTTTTTATAAATTAGTATCCTTTATTTCTTCTTTATGCTAGAGTTAGAGTGTATACTGAGGTTTTGTGTGAAGGTAGTTTACATAGTTCCAAAAACCATTTTCTGTATATTTTAGCCAGAAGTATTTTCAGTCGTTTTCCCATTTTAGAAAACCAATGAAATACATACACCTAATATAATGTAATACTTTCTCTGGAATATGGGACCTGTCACCAAATACATTGATTTTGGTGTAGCAAATATTCATAGTAGATGGGATAAGTAAAATAAATTATTCTCATCAATTCAGGTCAGGGGATGCAGCCAGGTAAATTTAGGAGCCAAACTTGGGTAAAAGTTTTCAGATTTCAGAGCTTGGTGGGCTTTAGAATTGTAAAGAAGAAACAATGGAATGAATGTATTATCTCTGTGTAGACGGATTAGAGAGTCTATGTGTTTCATTTCAGAATAGTAAAGGAGATATTAAAATATTTGGCATAAAAGGAGATTTGGGAAATGATACAGTTAGGGACCACTGATACAGTTGAAGAAACCCAGACTTTTAACTAACCATATGCAGTGAATCATTGACTGAGTTCTGACTTAGAGTCTGAAATAGTTCCCTCAGGCTAGTGTCCATTCATAAAATATTGAAATGTACAAGCCAGGTTATTTATCTCTATCTGTTTTTACAACAGGGGATTGCACTCAGGGCCACTGGTGCTTTGTTGACATGAAAATGTTTAGTCCTCTAAAAAATGAAACATAAAGCAACAGTTAGAAAAGCCAGATGAGCTCTCCAGGTTGTTCAAAAGGGGTTTTGTCCTTTTCCATTTCCCATAAAAGCCCAGCTGTACCTTCTAAAATTGGAACTCATTCATGTGCTGTCCAGGTGCCAGGGCATAAAAATCAAATGTGGAGAAAGCTGAAACAAGATATTTCAAAAATAGAAACAAGATATGGGCATAGGGAAAGAAGTAAATGAAAAGTAAGTAAATGGAAAGGTAGGAAGCGAAGAGAAAAACTTGCCATATGGAAATACTTTGATGGTATAAAATGCACATAGGATTTTATTGAACACTGAATTTATTGGATAAGAAATGATTGTTAATCTTAATTGTTTTAGATAGGTTGGATGCTCAGGTTCATCCATTCAAGTTATCTGGCCTATATTTTTACATTTAAAAACTCAAAATGTGTGAGTTTTTATGTGGCTGGACTTGAAGCTAGGTAGTAGGGAAGTTTGGAATACAGCCAGATCTACCAGTTCTGAGTGCAGTTTTCTTTTCACACTGAGGACTCAGGCGTAAGCAACGGTATGCACCTGAGGTATGTTTAGAAGGGCGCACAATAGTACTTGTGGGTTTGGTAACCATGTGCAGAGAGACAAAGGAAGGGGATGGGATTGGAGAGAAGAAATTCTAAATCTGCTCAAAAGGAGTGCTATTGGCAGAAGTGGAGCTGATTAGAAAGAAGAGAAGGAGGAATCATGATGTTCTATTTTAGATATTTTATGCTTAAGTAACAGAGGCACACCTTGTTGGTAATGTCTGGTGAGCATGGGGACGTAAAGGAAAGTCATGAAATAGCTTTGAACCATTAATATGTTTTCATTCCGATGTTCCATTTCCCTAAAGCCAATCTATGTATAATCAGCTCCAGAGAGTTAAAGGTTTTCCCATCTGGAGTTTTGGGTCACAGAGAAGTGAGCACCAGGGAGTTTATGCCTGGATGATGCTTTGCAGAAATAAGAAGGAGCAGTTCCTTTGGTGAATTTTCCCCAGTGACTCAAGAGTTATTGGTTGTAAGCCGCATAAAGCTATTCAAACTAGGTTAAGTAAACAGGTGCATTAACTAGAGGTATACATGGCAGGACATTATCCCAGGCCTCATGAAGAGCCAAGAGCTGGAAATCCCTAGGAGTGAAGGCAGCTATTTTCTTTATCTTGTTAACGTTTGGAAGCTCTCAGAACTGCTATGTTCTAATTCCAAGTAATCTTGCTGGGCCAGCCAAAGGGTAGGGTTATATGACCCACTGCAAACTTCTTAGTAGAGCTGTTGGAATGGACACTCTGGAGAGGCTTGCCCAAGGCAAGCAATTTGAAAATGTGCCTGCTAAATGCCATTGGCAGAATACTCTAATGGGAATGTGGAGGGCAGTGGGTCCTGAGTATGTTGGAGGAAAAGCTGCAAGGCAACAAATTTGCAAAAACAATACTGCCATATTAGAATGCTGAAGCATTTTAAGAAAAGACTGGGTAGGGACTTAGTTGATTAACTTTATTATTATTTTACCGGATAATTAAAATAAATATTACTAGTTAGAAGGGAAACTTGTCTCATTCCTTAATTTTTAAATTCATTCAACAAGATTTTTGGAATACCTTCCAAGTGCCTTCTAGTGATTGTTCTAGATGCTGGAATATGGAATATAGCATTTATCACAATTGTGGTTTTTTTTTTTTGCATTTATCACAATTGTTTAAGTCTTTGCTCTAGAGCAGCTTACAATGGGAAGATAGACTATAAGAGACAAATCGCTAGATGTGAAGAATAATAAAGCAGCTTAAGGGAAATAGTGGCAGATTTTATCTAAGTTGTCAGGGAAGGCAGAGTGAGTATATCATTTCTCTTTTTTTTAAGATTTATTTATTTGAGGGAGAGAGAGAGAGCATACACATGTGCAAGCAGGGGGGAGAGGGAGGGGGAGAGAGAACATCTCAAGCCGACTCCCCGCTGAGCACGGAGCCCAAGGCGGGGCTCGACCTCATGACCCTGAGGTCATGACCTGAGCTAAAATCAAGAGTCAGACGCTTAACCGACTGAGCCACCCAAGCGTCCCTCATTTATTTTCTAATGGAGATATTCTGAGTATGAAAGCAAGCACTATTTAGTAATTCTGGAATAACAGACATCAACTGGCACTGTCCCAGGCACCCTTGACAGCAATCTGATCACCCCACTGATAGTGTGACATAATAAACAGACCGGGAGAAATCGGTGAACGGGTGGTGTATTTATTTAAGGGAAAGTGGTCCAGGAAGAGGGAATGCTCGAACAACTCTGCACAGACTTTGGGCATTGCGAATTTATAATTTTAGAATTTCTAAAACAAGAAGAGGACTCCACCGTGGCATTGCCTCTCCTAGGAATGGCACCTTAAGGACTAGCCATACGGGAACTGGCTAACCTGCCCTGTCCGAGCCTGGCCACTGAGAGAGCTGATTGTCAGTGTAGGAGTATGGAGGCATTGCCAGTCAGAAGACCTGTTCCACACTATGGTCACAGAAAGATGGTATTAATGTAAGGTTGCTTTTTGGGGCACTGGGTGGCTCATTCGGTTAAGCGTCTGCCTTCCACTCAGGTCATGATCTCAGGATCCTGGGATAGAGCCTCACATTGGGATTCCCTGCTCAGTGGGGAGTCTGCTTCTCCCTCTCCCTCAACCCCTCCCCACCACTTGTGCTCTCTGTCTGCCTCGAATAAATAAATAAAATCTTAATTTTTTTTTTGTTTGTTTTAAATGTGAGGTTGCTTTGTAAAAGCCTGAGCTCAATTTGTGGCTGTATTTTGAGAAGCTCTTTCTGTCTAGAGACTTGGCTCAACCATAGTCTGAGAGCTCCTGTAGAATAAGCCGCTGCTTCTGTTTTCTGGGTGTGACCTTCGCCTCACACATGAGCCTCTGGTCCTAGCGGTCTTCGAAGAGCTTGGGCTGCTCACCCCGGGGCTGTCGGCTGTCACAGTTCAGTTCATGGAGCACCATGCAGCTACTTTCCTGTTGCCCCTTGTTCTCCACAGGTCTTGCTCAGCTCAGCGCGATCATGTTCTGTCAGGAAACCACATTCTGGGGTAAGGAAACTGAGGAGCCCAGCAGCATGGGGAGGTGGCACCTTACGCCATATTAGCTCTTCCTGCTCCTCCCCTTCATCACCATAAAGTACCTGTGGGCACAAAGGTACTGTTCTGGATAACAATACACAACAACACATTAAGATTGATAGCTCTTACTCATTGGGGGTGTACTTTTGCCAGACACTTAAAAACATTAGGCATTCAAAACTCAAATTCTCACTCACCTGTGAGACAGGTATAATGCCATTAGGTTCATCCCTGTGAAGTTACTTATACTCTATCATTTTTGACCTACAGAAATGACATTTTCATACAGTGAGACCTAATATTTTACAGGCAAAGAAAGGAAAGTTCAGTGATGGTAAGAAAAATAAACTTACCAAAGTCACACAACTTGACTCATAATTAGAATTTTCATGCCAGTTGGTTGGCTTCTGGGTCTGGGTCCATGCACTTTTCCTCACTGACAGCTCTATCTTATATAAAATAGATTAATTCCTTCTTTCTTTGGAGAGCTTCAGGATAGAACACACTGATCCAGAGGGATTTGTAGAGCCTACGAATTCCCCTAATTCTGCAGAGAACTGACCCATTGCTGGAACATTTAGACCTGAGGGAAAGACCCTAATGCACAAGCTCATAAACATTAAGAGGGCACTGGGAAGTCAGAAGCAAAAAGGGAAATGGGCAAATGAGTCAGCTCAGAGGAAATCCTTTTAAGAGGTTATGCAAGGACATTGCTGTGATCTGGATGTGAAACAGTTGGCTGCCAGAAGCTGGCACCATTTCCCAATGGGGGTTCCTCACATCCCAAGTTCCTCAAGAGATGTCTGAACCAAATCGGCTGGGAAACTAACTGTATTCTCCAGCAATCAGACCAGAGCCAGTAATGGCAATGAGACTGGGAGCTAAGGGGCATTTCTCTGTTTCTCTGTCCTGCTAGCACCCCCCCACCCCAAACCCTGCTTCTGTTTTCCTCTGGATATCTGCATTTCCTCTTTCCCTCTCTTTACAAGTGGCTTTCTCAGTTTCTTCATGCATATGGTAGAAAATTATCCAAGAATGACCCTAAATTTTAGTGCCTACAGACATGGGTGAGAATCACTGCATAAAGTTAGAAATTCTCCAGAAAGACAAAGCCAAATGATTAGGGTTAGGTCTGAGGTCTCCTGAGGCCAGGGATAGGTTCCATGCACACTGTCTAAGAAGGAGACCTGGTACAATAGGCAAATTGATGTGTTTGCTATAATTGGTGTCAAGCCACACTGAGAAACTAGAGAAGTCTCTTTTCATGCCTTTTTTTTTTTTCCTCTTCTGGTGTGTCTGTGCTCAATCAAGGGTCTTCACAGCCTACCCCAACACTGGGCTCTATCTTCCCTCTTCCCAAGCCGTCCCATGCCACAGGAGGCTGTAGTCCTGGCTGTGATTCAGGTAATAGATGTTTGAGTTTGCAAATAATTACATATTTGGCTGCTAACATCATCATCTGATTGAAAATTAAAATTTTCTCTCACTAAGCAGCTATTTGGGTGATCATTTTGCAAAGTCAACTTCTTCAGATCCCTTTCCATTGACCTGATGTGTAAGGCATGTGAGAGCCATTGGAAGCTAAAGCACTAAATGAATGCAAATTGTTACCATCATAACTTTATGATGCGTTGAGGGCCACCTGGAAAGCTTGTAGGGAATTCTTCTCAAGATTTTAATCTCAACTGTCCTTGGTCATCTTTTAGATTACAGAAGAGTATTTGATGATCATTGCATTCCCAATAGGAATAAGAAACCTGACAAAAGAATAAAGTCAACAATGCTAGTCCATTTTCTGTGCTTCTTTGGAGTGTGTGTGTCCTGTGCTGGCTGAGCCTGGGCAGAATTCAATCTCTTGAACAGATGCCTGTAACAAAAAGTTAGCTGGGCTCTAGGGACGGCTAATGTCTCCATGGGCTGCAGAATGTTATTAAGGCTTGATGGCAATCTCCTGACATGTCAAAACTGAATTAAAGAACAGGAGCTGCCTGCTTGGCAGTGCTGAGGGCAGTTGGGAAGCTCAGCAAAGGAACAGGCATTAAGGAAGAAAGAATGCTGACAGAAGCTGGGCAGGCAGACAGAGCTATTTAATTCAGAGGGGTGGGTGTTAATTAATTGATTTTGGGTGAGAGAGATCTGATTTCTGAGCTAGACCACAAGCTGTTGCCAGTCTAGTTGGGAACAATGTCCTAACAGCTTAGGAATATCATCCATCGTCTGGATGGCTGACCTCATATCGTATCCATCTTCTTGTGTCCAGACTCAGTGTGCTGTGTCAATTGGATGCCGGCAGCTCATTTTTCTTCCCCTTCAACATTACTCTTGTCTCTGCTTCTAATATCTCCAAAAACTCCCCTAGAGCCCCCAAATGATCCATGGCAAGTAGAAAGAAGGAAACCAGGAGTGAGTGGAAGTTATCACTCCTTCTAGAATGGCATAATTTTAAAGGTATGAAGTCTTGGCTTCCTATCCTTTTAAGATGGGTCGACTCCTCCCCAGAAGAAAGGTTAGTCATTAAAATTCACTAAAGCAAATGTCAGGCTCACGATGTCCTGATTTCCTATCTGGTCTCTGCTTTCTCACTGTGAAAAATTACTTTCTCTCAATTCCATTGTTTCACATAACAAAGGGCACATCCAATGATGTCCTCCCACATGCAGTTGTATGGAGACATTTATTATAGCAATTAATTTTCCAAGGTAAAAAATGGTATAATGTATTCTGAAATACAAACAGAAATGAATGGAGGTTTTTGGGTAGTTTTTTAAAGGTTATTTTGAGGTAGTGGGTAAAGCCCTGGATCTGGGTACAGAAGCTCTGGTTCAAGCAAGTCACTTAAAAATCTAAGGAGTCCTGTATGTATTTGTTAAAACTCACCAATCTGCAGTACTAAAAGGGTGCATTTTATTGTGTGTAAATTAACCTATATTTATACAAATATAACTCAAAGTCCGAAGAATAACTTTATTTAGTAAGTATGAAGGTAAAATATGCTCATCTGGAAATACAAAAAAGTAAAAACTAGCTATCACATCTCAACCACGAGATAATCACATATGTATTTTGGGTTACAGTGAGCTGAGTTAATTACATCCTACTACTCAGGATGCTCTGTCATCACTGGTCCATGCAAAGCCCCACAGTCCCCCTTCATCTATTCCTACTTTTATTTCTCTCTTACGTACCCTTACAAAATATGCTTTGATTTACATCACCCTTGTAAAATATGTAGTGTTGCTTTGTGCATTTGTTTGTTTTCATTCCACTTAAATGAAATATTAGTGTCTGTAGAACCCATTCTGTTTCTAGATTATTCTAGTCCATACTAATACTGTGTTAAAGATATATCAGAGTTATATGGGAACTTAGCTCATTGATCCTGATTTCTACATAGCATTTACAAGGCTGTTGTCTCCAGTTTCCTACAACCCCACATAATATTGAAATAAAGCTCCTCTTACATGTCCCCTTGTGGACCTTGAGGTAACATCTCTACAGTATAGAACTGTGAGTGACTTTCCTGGGTCATGGGATCCATAATGTGTACATCAGTGTATACACCCATCAGTAATTGTAGGAGGCTTTCAATTTTCCACATCCTCCAACATTTATGTATTTAATTAGTTTTCTGTCTATATTTTTTTAAAAAATAAATATTTTCTTGTTATAGAATTTACTTTTAAAACCTCTTTTACCATGACTTTTTTATGTTTTAAAATAATGTTCTAGTGTTATATTCAAAGCTAGACCTTAATTATTGGACTACCATCCTTTGTTTAGCTGATAGCCTATTTCGTAATATTCAGGTAAAATATGCTTCCAAGATAGGACATAAACAAGTCTACAGCAAAGGCGACACAGTTATCAAATTAATAAGTTGAATCACTGATATTTGGACATGGGTAGGGATCAGCTTATTGCCAGTCATAGGTTATCCCTAAGTATAACTCTTTGGTTAGAGGAAACTAATGAAACTTGGACTATATGAAGAGAAATAATTCAATAGGTAAAATGACAAACTGAAAAGAAATGGAAACCTAACTTCTAGAGCAATTCTACACATGATATCCTCTGACAATCATGTTGCTGGGCATGCGCTGAGTCAATGAAGTAAAAAACAACTATCAGTTAATCATGCCTCTTATGTAGAGGAAGAGTCATTGACCAGAATTACCTTATGATAGAAGGTATTTTTTAAAAATTTCTCCATTTAGCCATATGTTTACTTTTTTATATGCTAAACTTCTTGTAAGGTTTTTTATGATGTTGAGTAAAATTAAGCCAACAGTTCTGTTAAATTCTACAGTGATTCAATATGACCAGATGTTTGATGTAGATATTGATTATTCTCCACTACTCACACCATCTCTGATACAAATCCTCCCGTTTATATTGAATGTTAGACTGATACTCTGAGAACATCAATGATTTGCTATACCTCCGTTTTGGAGAATTCAATATTGACATGTTGAGCAAGAGAGTTGATATTAAGAAGGATTTATTTCAGCATATGAAAACTAAGTAGATCCATAGACTTTGATTAAGAATTCTTCTTTGAAAGAGTCTTCAGCCTTTTATATTGAAGATTTCTTATGCATATAGTGTACATCATGATCGACATAAAAGGAATACCAGAAACCCGAGTGTGGGAAGAAGAAAGATAAGAGTGCTGATCATAATTCTTTTCTAAAATGTAACATTCTGGGGCGCCTGGGTGGCTCAGTTGTTGAGCATCTGCCTTCGGCTCAGGTCCTGGTCCCAGGGTCCTGGGATCGAGCCCTGCATCGGGCTCCCTGCTCGGCGGGAAGCCTGCTTCTCCTTCTCCCACTCCCCCTGCTTGTGTTCCCTCTCTCACTGTGTCTCTCTCTGTCAAATAAATGAAGAAAATATTTTTAAAAAAGTAAAATGTAACATTCTGCATTTGTCTGAGATTTCATTAGACTTATGTAAGGGGTGATGAGGAAAACTGGAAGAGATGACATAACCTTCCATGAAAATGTTCTTTTTTGATGACAGGATGTTATTCACTATACACTGTGCTAATCAGGACAGCATAATTCAAGTCATTTATTTATGAAGGACAAATATATTTCTTAATAAGGGAGCTCAAAGCAGACTATAGAATAGGACATGTGGACATGTCTCCCTTTTTTCTTGTGTATTTACTTGGAACAAAGGGAATTACTTTCTGTGAAGAACACTGTATTTTGAGTACTACCACTTAAGCAGAAACAATTGCAGATACCTTGGGAATTTTTGGAGGTTAAAATATTTATGTTCAAATTGCTGTGTTGGTATTTGAACTGGATGTCAACTTAGAGAGGAAGAAGTAGAACAGGCCACTTTCTGTATTGATGGAGATCAGTCTTGTTCATATTTGTATAGGCAGGGCCAAGGACAATGCCAGGTACAAGAAACCTACTAAAAAGTATTTGCTGAATGAATGAATGGGTTGGGAAATTAAGCAGTTGAGTTTGTGAGGGACAAAGTGAACCTATAAAGATGGGGATTGCTTTTCTGACTTTTGAAAGGTTAGTGGCATTCAACTTCAACTCAGATGTTTCATTTATGTAGGACCTAGAACAGTGGGATAAATAATGAATTAGGAATAATTTTAT